GCGTCGAATGATGTATATTTTGTTCGGAAAAGGTCAAGTTTTATGTTGACCTCATGTGACCTCGAATGACCTCTGGTTGACCTTGACACATGAGAGGTCATTTATGATGGATGTTTACCCGCTGATCACGAATCTGGCATCTATTTTCCTCTAAGCCTTCATTTAGAGCTTCTGGACGGCAAAATTGTCTTATCTATTATTACTAACTTGAATCAGTGAAATAGCCTCTAGCAGGGATACTCTTCTGTGACCTTGACCTTTGAGCAGCCTTGTATCGTAGGATGAACCACAAATAGGGAACTGATAAGCCTCAAAACATTTCAAAACATCTTGGAAGCTAGCACGCAAGATGTGCGAAAAAGTGCCAAGTTTGAGGTCAATTTTGAGCGTGACCTTGACCTTGACCTTTAATTTTAAGCACATTTTCGGAATCCTCAGATTCTCTTCTTTCGTTTGACACCCAATTTTGCCGGTTTGACACAGCCTGCCGTCCTCTAGAAGGCTTACTTTGAGATCACTACACATGTGCCGGTTTTTGCCTTTGACCTTGACCTCTGACCTTGAAAATTGACCTGAGGTCAAAAATTTTAGGTGCTTTAGAATCGTCTCGTAAGGACCTTTCGTTTGGTATCGCTTTTGTTTCCGTAGCTCCCTTATTTACGGAGTTAGACAGGGGGGGGGGGCGAAAAACGCCCCCCCCCGGGCTGCGGTGGTTGGGATTACCCCCCGGGCCCGGCCGGGTTAAGAGCGTTAGCCTGACCTCTCCATAGTGTTAAAAAGTCCAGTATGTCCAGTATGTCTCTTCAACGAACATGCTACCATTTTTCCCTGTGAGAAATGCTCCAGCAGTAATTGGCAAATCATTTCGAGCAGGCAGACTTTCGTTATGTAGTTATTGCTGAATACCTGTTTGTACTTCATTCGCCTCATGCCTGTGTCGTTTAGTTTACCCATTATCTAGGTATTTAACAACTAATGTGCTAGATATGTTCGGTCTATTGGCAAGACGACTGTGCTAGAATAGTTTATGACAGCTTTCACCAGGCACCAACTTCAAAACATATCACGTCGGTCCGCTTCATACCTAATTGTCTCAATTACACCGTGTCACGAGCAATTTCGCCATTACATCGACCGCTGTAGCGCCGAGCCGCGCCGCGCACCGAGTCGTCCCAGCTCGCGCGAGCCACATAAATCTCACGAGGACCAGCATCGACCCCGCATTATCAGCAGTGTTCGCCATGGGCTGGGCCAGCCCAATGGGCCATGGGCTGGGCTGGGCTACGGGCTGGGCTGGGCCCTCAAATATGAAGGATTGATGGGCTGTGGATGGGCTGGGCAAGGAACTGTTAAGTGGAGTCAGGGGTTCGCAACTGAGACAAAAACTATAACTACATAACTTACTACCGTGCAAGACTCAAAAACAAGTCCATAAAGCACGCATGCAATGTGCATTGTGCATGCGGCTCGCACAATATTGTTCCTTTGCTACCTTTGGGTAGCTGTGTGGTGTCAATAATTTTTAACCCATTCATTTTTGACGGGCTGGGCCGGGCTGGGCTTTGACGCTTTTACCATGAATGGGCTCCGGCTGGGCCGGGCTGTTAACCCATGGGCCTGGGCTGGGCTGGACTAGGATTTTTCGGCCCGTGGCGAACACTGATTATCAGTCTGACGTCATCTAACAGGACCCTCGCAAATTTATGGGGGTTGTCGGAGACGCAAATAAAACAGCCCCGACCTCAAAGCTGACAGAGATGCGTCACAGGCTGACAGCGGCGAAAATAAATCGTACCTTCACAAGGCCCAGAGTTGGGTTGGCTCTAAAGGATGCCAGTGACATGCAATTTAGGTCCTAGTATTTCTAGCCTCTCGGCATAACATCCAGCCTTAATCACATCATCTGCAACTCATTTGGACTAGCTCCAATGTTGTGACTGTCGTAGAAGAGTCATAATTTTAGGCAGGACAATATCCGACGAAATGAATGTGGTGCTCCCTTGAGTGAGCGCAGTGCAGGAAAGGGTAAATGGGTGCCACAGACGCCATTCGTGTGCCGCTCTTATCTTTGAATGGTCCAAAGTTCTGTGTAGACTCAACATGCCAGCAAACATTATATTGCCATTCTCGGAATCAACGTCAGCGCCGATTATTTTCATTTTGCACGACAACACAGCTTTGTTATCTTGCACAACTTTCAGACACGGCTACTGTTATTGCGCAATCCGTTGACAAGTTAATAACACCGCGCCATCCGAGCGACGTGCCCTGCAAGTCTGACCGAGCTCGGCCGTACCCAGAAGTCCCGGACGGAAATGTCACTTCTGCTGGCTGTAATTGAATCCGTTGCATCACCGCGCCGACATTGATTTGATCAGCGCCAAGGCCGTGCCGTGTTCGATTGGGCGCTTCCTCCGCCCGCCGAGACGCGAGTCTGTTGCTAGCAATTGCCCGTGGCTGGCGCGGCTGTATACCAGTGTAATCCTGGGACCGATGTGTCAGTGTCGGAGATACGGCCACTTCTGGAGACGGCGGCACAGGAGTGGGAGATCAGCGGACGAACGACGGAAGTGCTGCTGATCAAAACAAACTGCTGGCCGGGAAATAATGGGCACTGCGCACGGCAATGAGCAAGATGTGCGACTTTTTACCGCTAATGAGTCGAGAATAGGCGCTCTCATAATGAATCTGAAAGCTTGTGTCCGCGGGTTGAGACGGTAAAATTGTCCAGTCATCGTCACTGGAACTTTGAAGGTCGAGCGGTTGTGGCCTTCGTCCGTGTGCTATTCACTCGGGAGCGAATGCGAAACTGTCCGACCACAAATGAGTCATGTTTATAAATGGCTTCCGTGACCTTCCTGCACGAAAGCTATACATGAATAAATACAATGGGACAAATGGCGTTCCGACAACTGGAGCGATAAGGCAGCCGACTAAGGAACAGACCGTTCGGGTCAGTGTGTGCATCAGCGCCAAGTTATTCAGAGGAGATCCTGTTGTGTGAGGACACAGCATAAGGTGACTGATAACGGCCTCAGAGCAGGCGGTCACACAACAACAGCGGGCTGGATGGCGCGTACTTTTGACCTTGGCACATGGAAATGGCGCCAAGGCTGGCTGCAGGAGCCGTGACTATCTGGCGCGCCGGCACTGTGATGGTCTGGACGGACTGTTGTCTGATACCATGGGCCGCTGTCCCGCCTCACAGCCGCCCTCGCCTGCACCCCGAGACACGGCGATCTCGGAGTCCGGCCGGCTGGCTGGCCACCGCCTGAACCTCAGCCGCACTGCTCCATGGACGGCAGCGGCAGCAGCAGCAGCAATATTCATGGGTCACAGACCGACAGACCTGGCTGAGCGTGCATGCACGACGTTTGCCAATGCTATAGCAGATGAAAACAGTGTGAAATTGGTTCGACGATCACTGCTTATTGTTTAGAACTTATCACTCGGGACCGCGTCGGTCAGATGTAATCATCACCAGTAACCAGTCCGGTGGCAACTGGACGAAGCCAGCCACAAAACTGGTTAACCATGCTGTAGTTAATTAGATCACCTGTACCGTACCAGCCACGCCTGTGACTTCTGATGAGACCGCATAGGCAAACAGGCTCATCAAAATATGTAAATCAACAATATAACTATTATTGATCTCTTCAGTCAGAAACGACAGAACCGCCAAAAACTATTCCATACTGAAGGCTTCTGATGATATCACGCTACATATGCGGATAATTTAAAAATATACAATGTGCATACCTACATATTGTCTTTTAGCGGCTTCCCTATATGTATGCACATAAGCACGCTATAAGATGGGTTAAAAAGATGACTTTCGCCGAGCGTTTGATAGCCTTCATGCTTTACATGAGCTGAAGAAAGTGCTACTGTTTTGGAAACGTTGGAATACATTTCAATCAGTTGCAATCGGCTTAACTTAAAAAGTATTTCATTCTTACGCTTTTGACTACGTCATCATTTAAAGGAAAAGTAATACGATAACTATAACTTGTTCATGTTAAGTAATATAGGTACTGCCGTTAATGTAAAAAATATAAATCTGCTGCTTCGGGGAATATATTGGATTATACCCAGAAGTAAAGTATACGCCGCATTGCAGAGACGTTTCTTGCGTAGGTAAAAGGAATGAACTTTGAAGCACGATTATCGATACGACTGAATGCGAAGTGTTAACACCGTTCTGAATTTATATAGCAAAATGGCACAAAATGGCACCAAATGGCATACAAGCACAATCGGTGATGCCTGTGCAATTTTGTGCATATCGTGCGCCTTCTCCAATACAGAGAAGCAAAACCACCGAAATGGCATTTAACCTGTTCGATTATTTGTATTACCTTGAGCCTTGTATACCTAATATTGATCCAGCCTCTCTTTAGCCAGAAAGCCACTTCCTTGCCAATGTCCATTTTTAAATAAATGTCATAAAGGGAAGCGTCACATATTTTTACTAGTAGGTATGAAGATGGGATAGGATGGTATGTCTGGGAAACCTGATGGAAGAATATTTTTCCCAGACGCCGGAGCGTGTGAAATTCCATCCGCTACCAGAAACCCCGGCCCCCAGTCCCCACCCCGTCGTCTGGCCTGACGGGCATGGCGCCCCTCGGGGGGGGGGGGGGAGGGGGCGGGGCGGAAGAATCACCACAACACTCGCCCGGAATCGGGTTCGGGTCCCGTTACCGCGATAGGGTTTCCGTTTGGGTGAGCCGCGAACCTGATCCCAGGTCCGGGTGCGGCCGAGTTGCCCGAGACGCCCGACCGAGTCGCCCGGGACACGGGACCGAGCCCGGCCATCTCAGGTCCTTCCGGGCGGTTCCGGACGGTCCTGGACGGTCCCAAACAGGTTCCGACAGGTGACAGACTCGGCAGCAATGGGCCAGGACGCTTCTAACCCGCCTGCTCCCCGTGTCGCGGGCCGTGTATCCCGTGTCGCGGGTCATGTCCCCGTGTCGCGGGCCGTGCTGCTGCCTGCTCACCTGTGAGAGGCGTAGAGCGCCGGTCGCACCATGGAGTACTCCATGGGCAGGTAGGTGGGCTGCGCCAGGTGCGCAGCGGCAGCCACCTCCTGCTGCTGCTGCTGCCACAGGCTCGGCGAGGCGGCGCTGTACCCGCGCGCCGCGTCACCGCGACGCACCATCGCGCCGTCACCAGCGGCACCACCCAGTCACCAAACCCAACGGCTTCACAGAAACCACCAAATTACCGTCACAAGTGTCAGGAGCGGCACCGCGCCGGCTTTCACCAATCACATGAGTCACACCACTTCCAGGCGTCACTAAATGTCACTTACCACCGCCGAACGTCACCAAAGTCTGCGGCGCTGCAGGACACCACCGGTCTGCGCGGCCGTCCGCCGGTGTCTCGGGCAGGCCGGCCGGGTGATGGGTGGAGGTAGCGCGTTGCGCGCCGTGCAGCCGCGTACCGTGTCGCTGCGGCCGCTGTCGATCACGTGCTGAGCTCGGCGGCCTCGGCTGGGCGCCGCCACCGCGCCAGTCGGCGGCCCGGCCGGCCGGTCGGTGGCGCCGCCCGCCGCCGTTCCTCCGGCAACGCACACGTGGTCTCACCAGCCCCCGGGGAAGGGGGCGAGAGGGGGTGCTCGGGGTCTCCGATGACAGGACTGATGTCGTCCGCGGGAGTTGTCTGGTAGTGTAAACAAGTCTGGTGTAAGCAGGGTCGTTGAAATCTGTGATAGTTTTGTCTCCAATGTGCGCAGCAGGAGGCAAAAATGACGGGCGCAGTTCATACTGATACGATAGGATGTGGGCAAACAAACGGAACGAGGGGTGAGGCATGAATGAACATGAATCATAGGATGTGTCCTAAATCTGGATTGCCGAGGGACGAATTTCATTGGGCAGGCTTATCTATCCGGAGTCGAAATTGCGTTGCATCCTTGTAGCGTGAGTATTGCTGGCATAAATGTGAACTGACCACCTATAATCGGTTAACTCAACAGCGAAATATGTTTTGCTTATCATTATTTAGAAGGTATTTGACTATATGCAGACTTGACTGGCCATTGACCTAACTTCCCCGAGAAACTTAGCTTGGGCACAATGCCTTACCCGACACGTTCCTGCATGTTGCACAGGTTGCGCTGCAAAAACAGCAGACATTAAAAGAAATTAATTATCTTTGTCACTGCAATGAAAATAAGAACTAACAGAAGGTTTCTGGTCAATAGTTAAACACTCGTTAGTATTGTGTTTTTCTATTGAAAAAACCTGAGTTCTTTCACAATTTTGCTCATAAATAATGTTACACTTAAGCACTAAAATATACCTATCAATCTTAGATGTTCGACTTTGCAATGCCTTCCGCAGGAGCCGTGCTCATACTGTCTTGCAGCAGTCGCAAGACGTTCACGGAAAAATACCAATTTGTGACTGTCTCAATTCAACGCAGCACCTAATTATTTCACGTTCGTTTTGTGCGGTAATGAATGTCATAAAGAACGGGTGTTAGCGGGACGGCTTGTGATTCATGTTGACGTCTTCTGGCAAAAAACATTCGAATGTGTCATGAAAAATTGCAGTACGAGTCCATTGGCCGTATCTGAAAAAACTCTTGTCAGTTGTCACTAGTTTTTTTTTTTAAATTAAGTGGCCGCTTAAACATACCGAAAAATCAGGCTTGCTCTTGCCAAACGGGATGTTTATTAACATATGTTTATAAACATAGGTACGTAGCCTTAAATGTGGTAAACCAGATGAAAAGGACACGTAAAATGATCATCCCAATAAAAGTATATAGTATGTCTTAAATTAGTATAAATTCAGTTTAACTTTAAAATAGGTAAGTCTTAAACAAAATTCATCTAAAAAGAAAGGAAATATTAAAATATCATTTTGTTTCGTTCATATCTACGAGTATACGCTATTCACCTGTATGTGATACATTTTAGGTCCCTTGCCCTTTTTGGATGTCCTATTTCCAGATGTTCCACAACCCCGATTTAATTTGTCGCTCCCTCGGATGGCTGACTAACGGTAGACGGTCCCACGAATATATCCTGGTCCCATGTCCTCATTATCTGTCCACTTTTTGTTCGGTTTGGGTGGGGCAGAAGGCCAGGGTCATGTGACAGAGCATATGCCGTTACATTTTCCAAAACAAATTGACAGAAAATGTCCCAGATGGCCAGTACCCGTTGAATATGATGGACACTATTGGCCATTAGAGCAAAAATCTACCATCCGTAAAAGCTACCTCATCGTAGCGAATTAGAGGTGGCAAAATGTGGACCCGAGGACCCGGTCCAAAGAACCAGTCTGGACCCATATGGGTCCAGACCGGATCCTGGAAATTTTCTGACGGGTCCAACCGGGTCCTACCATAAACTATACATCTTACGCACCACACACTATTGCTAAATATTAAGCGAATGAAGTGAATGTTTCTTTGCACACAGTGAAATAGGCTGTTTTACATGATGCAACTAATGATACCTACAAGTAGTTTGTATTAATTGACTTTTGGGGAACGGGTCCAACTGGTTCCGATTCCAACTAAGACCGGGTCCGACTGGTTCCAGAAATGTCCAGCCGGGTCTGGTTCGAGTCTGGTTCCCAAAATTTTCATCTTTTGCCACCTCTATAGCGAATCCCTTGAATCGTAACCCTACAAATGCAATGCATCGTATCACAAAAACAAAATGCGCCAGATAAAAATCATAAAGCAGAGGTGATAGGAAGATATAAAAGCCCATGAATCATGATGTATCTATGATATCAACATTCTTTCACCCAGTGTCCTTGGTGAGTCGCAGCAAAAACTTGTGAGCTGTTTTATTCGCCGCGGGCAGAACGGCGTGCTGTGAGGAAATTTGGCAGCCGGTTTTTGTTATTCCCAAGGCAGCGTCGTCGGTCCGGTCGGTCCCGTCGGTCCGGTCCAACGGCCGGTCCGGGCATACGTGCTTGACCTCGCGGGTCAACATGTGGGAGGGGGGTCGGGCTCCGGTCAGACAGGTCAGACGGGTCAGCACCCGGTCCGAGACGGGTTGGTATCCGGTCACCCATTCCAGAGCCCCTCCCGTCAGCGCCGTGACCTGCACGCTGCAGGTCACGGCGCTCAGTGCGGCACTAATCTGCGCCCGGCGCCCAGGAGTGCCGCGCTGCACGGCCCAACTGCAGAGTGCAGAGTGCAGCCCCTCCGCCGCCGGCGCGCTCGCGGATATGGCGCTACGACGTAGAAGCGGCGCCGGCCGCGGCCGGTCAACTGCCCGGCCGATTTCGCCACCAGCCGCCTCCGCGCGGCCGGCCGCGCCGGTCCCGTCTGGCCTTGTAGCCCGCAGGGGCTCTGACGTCACCCCCTCAGCGGAGTGGGAGGGGGGGGGGGGGGCGGCGACCGGAGCGGCGCCACCGGCTTCCCCAGGGACCGGTTCTCAAGTGGCCACGACGCCAGCCAAGCGAACCGGTTGTCAGACGCTGGGGAAGGGAGGGGAGGGGAGGGCGCGGAGGGAAGGGGTGCAGCGCCTGACCTCTCGGCGGCTGAGGGGGTGGGGCGGGGGGAGGGGGCGCGTGCTAGCGCCGCCCCGGGTCCCGTGACCTTGCCTGTCGCTCGGCAGACACCCCACTCACGGTCACGGTCACGATCTGCGCGTGCGTGACGGGAGGGAGGCGCGACTCTGAGCGTGGGCAGAGTCCCGCCCTGCGGCCGGCGCTCCGAACCAATGAGACCGAATAATCAATGGTGAAGTGATTGAGATATTCGAAACATGTAATGCGCAACTTCGCATTAGGGCTTTCCAATGTTTTTGTTGTTCCCAGTAAAACAATAAATACCAGGCCTTGCGCAAAATGCATAACCAGTGCATAATGACATGGATGGCTGGGGAATGCTTACACACGATATTGTCACTGCCGACTGGGTGCCTGAGCTCGTGAGGATCCCTTGCATACGGATGCAGCAAATGTCGGCAAATGCAGATACGTTTCTGTTAGTAACTAATAAGCATCAACACAGCTCTGGGGATATGGAGTCTGCAGATGACTACAATTTATATATTTTCAACTGTACAACTTCCAGAGCAGACAGTTCGGTAGAATCGATCATGTTTTTGTGAAAAGTGTTTCTTGCGACTTGCGAGGATACAAATCTAGAATACCTACAACGCGTGACCCTGGACGCCACGAAAAGCTGAGCAAGGAACTAAACGTAAGAGAGTCATGTGCAATAACACAAACAAAGGGAATCCTCTCTGGTGCATGTTGAGTGTATATAGTAGACAATCCTGCATAAATGTTTAGAGCGGCCGGCGGACCCCAGTGTATGTTATGCCTAAGGTCACCGAACAGGGAACTGGGCAGGTTTACATTTCAGGCCACTGAACTCGAGCACTGACAGAGCGCTAGCTCCTAATGTAGACGCCAGCGCGTATACGAACCTCACATACCTACACATGCATAAACAGCAGGACAACGACGCGGGACACTCGTGACGGTCTGATCGGCTGGAACCGGTTCTATTCTCAGTTATGTCTCGGAGCAAGCACCGACGACCAACGATAATACTGCAGCCTCGCAGCGGCGCAATGCACTACTAGATATTTATCGGCATTTCTAAAAAACGACTCCTTGACCACGGCATCAGGAGAAAGCCACCAAACAGGGATGACGTAATGCTGACTAGCATAAAATCTGCTTCGTATTTGATTCGGTGTCCATTCCGAAAACGTTGTCAGGGAGTGTTTCAGTGATTTTTGGATGGACGTTGTCGGGGAGCATTTCAGTGATTTTTGGCTGGGCTCAGCGCTGGACCCGCCTCTACTGTCCGTAATTCTGGCCTCTGTCCTGTGTCCGCCGGACCGGCATCTGTCCGCCGGACCGCCGTCTGTCCAGAGTCGTCCGTGTCGCCGGGGACACACGACATCCGGCGGCCGTCTGGACGCCGGCCTCGCCGATCAGTGACAGACACGGAAAACGGCCCGGCTTAGCACGGAGCGCTGCTAAATCGGGCCCGCCGCCCGCTGCAGCTCGGACCCAAAGTCCGGGTCCGGCTCGGCGGGCGACAGAAAAGGCACAGGCGGCACAGGCCCGGCTGGAGAACCGGTCACTGGGTAAGTATCACAGCGCCGTGCTGAACAAAGACATAACGGCAGGACGGCGGGCTGCGCCGCCCGGATATTTTACAGCCAAC